AATATAAATTGAAAGGAGATGAGAGAGCCATTAATTACTAAGAAAAAGCGTTAGAGATCTATTTAATTCATTATTCATTAAAAAAACAAATATAACTTGTTTTTTAATCTATTTCTAATTAATATTAGAAAAAATGAAGAAGTTAGAAAATTTTAAATTAAACTCTAATTTATACATAAAATCCCCTTATGCGTTAATATTATTTTTAATTATTACTGGGAGTGCAGAATATACTTAATTGTCATATTTAAAAATATTTGTAATAAATTATATTTATTTATAAAGAAAATAACAATTATATTTTGATATTACTAAATATAAAAATCTCTTATATTAGATATTCACAATTGGAAGAATATTGGAATCTGAAATTAATAATAATCTAAATTGTATAAAAGCAAATCCAAATTAAATTTACAATATTTTAATTATAAAAAGTGATATATAATATTTAAGTAATAGGATTGAATAATAAATCATATAAGCTAGGAATTATATAATTCTCTTTTTAGATTTAATGAAATATCATTATTAATAAAATATTAATATTAATTAACATTCAGAGATATCATAAATTGCTTATGTAAATATTTTTGTGATAAATTGGAAATTTAATTTCTGTGCTATTTATTAATTTAATTAAAATAAATGAAATGAATATTCTTTATTATAAATTAAAGCCATCCTTATTATATATTAATGTTTTAAATTCAATTTAGAATCAGAGAGATTCCTGAAATAAATATATAAAATTACTTGAATAAAAAATAACATAATAATAATTAAAATGCATAATGAATAAAATCATTATAATTAGATCTCATCTTATGATTTTTATTATAATTTTTGTAATTATTTAATCATCTTCTCATATTCTTACAATTTAGTTTAATAATTATAATAAATATCGTAATAATCTCTCTTTCTTACTTCAATTANGATTAATAAAATAAATCCTTTTTCAATATGGCTAATTATTATAAAAAATAAAAGGATATTAATAGGAAAAATCTAATAGCCAAAAATTTTGTAATAAACCAATTTATTATAAGTAAATATTTGGAAATTGATATTTACTTTACCTCAATACACAAAAAGGAAAAAAAAATCTTTTCTTATTGTTTATTAACATATAATTTCAATTTTGAATAATATTATTGGATAGAATATTATTGATTATTTAGATAATATTTAATAATAATCAAGCAGACTAATAAGATAAGAAGTAACGAAAATAATATTCTAATAACTTAATGTTTATTTAGAAAGTAAATAAATTATGATATTATTAAAATATAATAATATATTATATTAGATGTTTTAAAAAAAAATAATCATCTAAAATATGAAATAACTAAATATAAAAAAATAGAATTTCAAGAAAAAAATGGTTTGAATTTTAAGATTAGAAGTATATTGGAAAATATTTACAGTTAATTAAAATTCAAAGGGGGGATCTAATATAAAGGAATAGTGATTGTTAAAAATATAGAGTAATTATGTTAGAAGTACAAAATAATTAAAAGTTATATAATATACAATTAAATTTGATCTTAATTTCTGTGCTTTTTTTTTAATTTAATTAAAAAAGATGATTTTAAATAAATAGAATAATTTTTTGATTATTTCTTATAAATTAAAGTCAACCTAATTAAATATAATGTGCTAAATTGAATTTAGAATCGAAGAGAGATTCCAATTTAGATAAATAACAATAAACTTAAATAAAATAATAAAAAAGCATAATCAATATTATCATCATAATTGGATCTCATTTTAAAATTTTTGATCTAATTTTTCTAACTATTAAATCATCTTATCATATAATTACAATTTAGTTTAATAATCATAATAAATATCGTAATAATCTCTCTTTCTTACCTCAATTATTGATACAATATATTAGTACATAAATTCAATACCATTCGATCCAAAATGAATATATTTTTAATTAAATTCATATATCTATTACAAAATCTCCAGTTTGTTTTTAGAAATTCTTTCAGGTTCAAATTCAAATATTCGTATTATTAAAATATTTAGATTTGCCACCAATTATTTATATAATACCCAATAAGAATAATTATCCTTGCTCAATTAATCAATTGGATTCATCAAAAAAACAAAATATTTGATAATCTCTAATAAAATTTAAGGAGGTGATGATAATGCTTTTATTTCAATAAAATAAATCTTATTAAAAATACTTGTCCAATGTTATCGTAATTTTTATTTATCTTACTCTATTAGATTCCTACATTTAAGTATTTCTTCATTATCTTCTTATAAATTTATTAAACGAAATCTGATTTCATTTATTTTCTGTTTATTTATCAATTTCACTATAAAGTCCATATCTGAATTTACTAATCGTAGCTATAAATAACTTTTAATATCTAAAAATTAACAAATCTATAACACAACTTCTGTTCTTACAGTCATAAAATAATTCTAATGCTTATTATTCATTTTTATAAAAAATATATTGGTCAATTTTTTTACTTAAATAATAGAAATTAGAAAAAATTATATTTTTAATATATGAGATTTAAACAAAAAATATGATCAATTATTAAAAATTATCTTTTTAGAATTGGAGAAGGATATAAATATTCTTAATAGAAGGGAAGGAGTATTCACAACACTTAAAAGAGATCTATAAAGTAGAGTTGAATACAAAATGATTTAATTAAATTATTTGAGAAGGAGACTTTGATAATTAAGATAGAAAACAGCCTATATATCTTTGAAGTAAGTATTATGGAGAAATTATATGATAAAAGGATATAAAGTAAATAGAATTTAAAAACTTTGTCTGAATTATAAATTTATACTGTTATTTTTAGAATTCTGGTAAAAAAAGGCTTTAAAATTTTAAGTTTAAATTTAATCTCTAAATATTTAAATTTATGGATTGTTAATCTCTATTTATGAATTTAACAAATATTTACATATAATAAATACTAAAATGATACTTGGACCAAGAGAAAATTCTATTATGGTATATGAATCTATTTTTGACTGCAATTATCACTTTATTATTTGATTTGAGAGTGAATAAGATTTAATAACATTAATAGATAATCTTAATTTATGTTGTAATAATAGAATAAATTATATTAATGAGACAATTAAAAGAGTTTATATGTTAGAGATTAGGAAATTAGGCAGAAGGAGATAGAGGGTTTTTTTTTTATTTTGGCTGCACCTAAGTATCTTAGATTTGTTTTTAATACATTAAAGACCCTTATTTAGATAAATAGATGCAAAAAACACTTACTAGTACTTGATAGTATTACTCATATTGTCAATTACTTGAATTTGGGACTTATTGAATTACTGATCTAATTGAATCAATTCTTTGAAATTTTCTAGAAAAGATATTAAGTACTTAAGATTTCTTTATTTATTATAAAAAAAAATCATTACAATATTGAATTTAATAGCATAACGAAATAATCAAGAAATTAAAAACAGTATCTTATATATTAAAGAAGCCTGTGAATATTTGAATAATTAAGTTGATTTAACAAAGAAGAATGAAATTAGTATTTAATATATTAATAAATAGAAATTGAAATAATAATTTTTTCTGCATTAATTGATTATAAATGAGGCAAAAAAATCATTAAAACTTTAAAAATAGACAAATCATCATTATATAACAAATTAAAAGTACTAAAATAAAGAATGTTAGCAATAAAATTAAATAATAATGGTAGAGAGCAAACTAATTTATTGATAAACATTTAAATAAATCTGATAAATATTTATCTTTTGCTAAATTCTTTTTAATGTATTTTTAATATAGATAAAATTTAGGTATTGCCTTAATTGAAAACAATGAACCAGAAAAAGCTATTATAAAACGAGATGAAGCAAAAAAAATGCATGGAAATTTATATAAGGAACTATCGGATAATGCAGATAAGGCACTTAAAAAATATGAAAAAAAATATATTTATGCATATCATAGGTTATGCATTTAAGTTGCAATTTAATTCGAACTTTATATTATGAAAATAAATATGATTAGGCAATTGAATAATTTTTAATAGTTTAATAGTTTGAATACAATTCCTAGACATTTCCATGCCTTTTATCGAAAAAGTATTAATAAATTTTCAAATTAGGCTATGCTTTATAGGATAAGAATTAACATAATTTTGCTATTGGATGTATCGAATATTCTCTTGAATTTGGTGTAGAATATTTAATTGGTTATTTTATAGATGTAATTTATAATAAAAAATATAAGATTAAAATAATAAGGAAAACTTAATTTACTTATTGCTGAATGCAATTAAGTATTAAAATTAGATCTTAATTTTATCTCAGCATATATTAATAAGAGTTATATTTACTTGATTTCTTTAGGTAATCCATTACTAGAAATTTATTAATAGGTGTGATCATAAATAGAATCTAAATGTATGAATAATTAATTACATATTGTTAAAATGAAAAAATGAATTTGAAAAATTAAAGGTGGAAATTATGAAATTACTATGAAAATTGATATTATATACCTTATGAAAATATTTATAATATTATTAAATGTGTTATCTTCTTAAATCCCTGTTCATAACCCCGTATAGATATTGAATATATTAATAATACATTATATTTATTTCTAAAATCAATAATAAAATAATTATGTTTCTGATAGCATTGCAATCATGGTTATCTCTTTTGGTTTAATGTATCAAATTTTATTTATTTAAAAACAGATAAGAATACTATTGATATTATTAATAACAATTATTATAGAAATTATACTCTATAATAGTATCAAAAGCATTTTATATAAGGTATATAGATTTTATATGGATATAATAATTATAATTTATAAGTTACTTTAAAGTTTTTAAATTATATAAAAAACTTATATTAATGATGTAGTTCAATTTCATTCTTTTGCATCATTAATTTTTAAAATTTGTATATATGTAATACTTATTTAGATATTAAATAAAATTAATGAAAAGGAATCTCCTATCTAATTTTTGAATTATTTTTTATCAAATTATAGTCAATTTTGCTATCATTATCATCCAATTTATAGATATAAAATTATATAATTAATATCAAAATATATTAATAATATTATTAATTGATAAGTTTAAAAATTTTGAACAATCTTCAAAATCTAACACCATAATTAATAATGAATTGAAAGTAAATATATTTATATCTTATATTAATAATTATGATTTACAGATTTTGCAACCTGCTAATGCTCATTTTAAAGGCTATTTTATAGTTTGAATAACATTTTGGATAATTTGATAGTATTATGATACTTACATCCACTTTATAAACATTTCTAAAAACTAATTTTAATGCAGCATCTAATTTATATATGTTTCAATTTAACTTTTGAATAAATAATGGCTGCAAAAAGTTTAGTTTTCTTTATTGTCACTTCATGTAATAGAATAATTATGATATAAAATCTATTAGTCTTTAAAACAAGAACCATTTTTAGAAAAGAATTGAAAGCATAGGTAGAAGCTTAAGTATTAATACTCAAAATAGAATCCATTATAACTTTTATTTCTACTTTCTTATTTTCAATAATACTTAAGTATATGGCAATAATTTAGTGGTAAATTCTTGTTATTAGCAACTATAAATTAATTCAAAAAGCCGCCGTGCTCTTGATCTAAAAATCAATAATAGTATTTCAACTAGTATTCTAACAATAAAACCTTATAAAGTTATAGAATAAGGAATATGAAAATTAACTGATATAATTATGATTCCTAGCACATAGGTTATAGATAAATATTAATTATTTGTTGTCTAAAAGGTTATTTAGCAAAGAAGCTGATTATATAATATTGATAATTCAACTTTTGAAGTATCAAATTTAATTATAACCAATGATCGTTAAGGAAAATACTGATCTAATACAAATTCTATATTAGAACACAAGAATATGAATAATAATGTATATTTGTTTAAATGTATTAATAATGAATAATTGATAAATTAAATTGTTATTAGTAAAATAAGGTATATTAATATAAGATATATTAGTAAATGTGAGTTAAATTATTAATTTAAATAAATATCTTAATACATGATATATCTAATATGCATTTAGTATATTCTCTATTTTTTAACTAATTTATTAGGGTATTCAAAACCTAAACAAATACTTATTTAAACATAGTATTCATCATAATGTTAAAAAATTTGCATATTAACTTCAAGTGATGATTTCTTTATTACTCTTGAGATAATTAATTGTGTCAATATATTTTTATTTTTATTATAATATATTTTGTAAAATTTATAATGAAATAAGTTCAAGTGTTAATTCTTTAGCAAGAATAATACCAGTAAAAATTATAAGAATTTATCTCAAAAAAGCATAAAGTGATTATTCATATTCGAGAATCTTAAAGAATACTTTTCAAATTTATTAAATATCTAAATATCAAGCTTGAGATTTAAGTATTTGATTCAACATTTATATATAATACAGTAATTTAATAAACATATTTATCAATAGGATTTGGGATCTTATAAAAAAGTAGAAAACAAAATATAACAAATTAGAGAGGATAGCCATTAAACTCTTTGAAATTTGATATTTTTATATACTAACTCATTTAGATAGATATGCAAAAAAAAGGTATTTCAAAAGCTATAAGTAGAACTGAAATATATAGATTGATTTAAATAGATATTCATGAATAGGATTGGAATATGGGTCTACAAAAAATTCATTCTCAAAAAAGGTTCTTTATTAATATAATGTCATATAGCTAATTTTTAGAGTAGCCTTCTAAATTGACAAACTATTAAAGAGTCATAGCAAAAGTATAGAGATAATTTTGAAGGATGACATCAATTAAAAGATATTCAGAAATACAATTATAATCAAGAAAAAATAGACATAAATAAGAATTAACTTAATTTATATAATTTATTATAAGCAGAAAATCTTCTTTTGTTTCATAAACCTTAATAGGTAAGGATAATTTACTTTATTTTGAAAAATAATGATAATTGTCTAAAAACTGAATGGCTTAAATGCTAAATCAAATTAAAAAAGAAATTTAGATTGGCTAAAAAATTATATTCTAAGCTAGCAAAATAGATTAAATTTCACAAAAAATACTTACATATATTCTTTAAGATTAAGAATGATTTTGATGTTCGAATAATTTCACTATCTATTAACTCTTACTATATTTGATCTTATTATAAATCTTTAAGATTGAATTCATATTTTCCTCATTCAGTGCATAATCTAGTATTTTAAATAATATCATTTTAACAATATGATATTATCAATTTTCATTTTCATTATCTACATGTTAATTTATATATAGTTCAAAATATCTAGTATATTTTATTTTTGATTTCTTGTTTAATGATTATTATTAACAAAATTGTATGCTATATATGTTATATGTAATTAGAAGAAATAAGAAGAGTCTAAGAATTATATTTTATTTATTATATAAATAAAATTTGATTAACTCGACTAGTTAGAAGGTTTTCAATTTTGGAAATCAAAGGTTATCTAATAGAATTGGATAAAAAATATTATTATTAATGTATCAAATTTATTTAACTTCCTATTCAGTCTTCTACTATGGATGCTTTCTCAGATATGATTAAATATTACTAATCTTCTAAAATTTTATCAATTTTTATTCCCTATTCTGTTGAAATCAATTAATCTAGATTCTAAAAATATTCTCAACAAAAAATAATTCAACAATTAATTCGAGCAATACTTCATTATATTCAAAATTAAAAAGAAAATTAATAGACCTTTTTAATTATCATTTTAGTATTTTTTTAGTTTGTTGATGTAAAATATTATAATTTTATTATGAGAAATTATTTAATTCTCTAATATATTATATACTATATAATTGAATATTATAAAATTTATAGTAGAATTGAGAATAAATAATATAATAGTTCACATAATTTTTCGGTAAATTAATTATCGAATATGATTATATATTTTAATGAAACAAAACTCATTGAGAAATGCAAATATTTGCGATAACTCAAAGAATTAAATTATTAGTTATTCTTTAAAGGTCTATATCTAATGAATCTAGTGTCAATATGTTCTATAAATTTTTTAGAACTATTATGATAATTTGAAGACTTATGTATTTATGATGATTAAGTAATTCACATATAATGGTGATTTCTCTAACAATACAGGTATACTTTTTATTATTCAATTTTTAATTTATCTTAAATGATATGAAGTAGCATTGATTATCTTCTTTAAAGCAGTTTAATATGATCCCAACTTAGAATTAACTTATAAATTTAAAGGTTTAGGAATTTCATTATTATATTAACTTAGAAGATTTTAGTATTTGTTAAATATTTAAATTGAAAAACTACATAAATGTAATTATTTGTTATGAAAGCTATTTATCTTGATCCAAATTTTAAAAACCCAGATAGTCTTAATATGCTATCAAACTTTACAAAATGGCAAATAGTTAAATAAATCTTCCCTTATCATTTGAGAATTTAAGTTGATAGTTTGAAAATAAAATTAATTAATTTTAATATTATTAATTTCTTTTTATTGATGATACTTTATTAAGTTTCAGTACATACAATAAATTTTCTAGAAGAAAATAATTGATATCTATATCATTTATAAAAATTTAAATAATACCAACTTTTTTAATGAAAACATTTAATTTTGACTATTTTTGTATCAAATAATTCTTTATATTTATAACAACTCATTTAGAAATTTTACAGGAAAGGAATAAATTAGAAAATTCAAAATCCCATTTTATAAATGTCTTATAAATTCAAACATATTTTTCTAACAGGATAATTAGAAATTATTATAAAATAGTTTATATATAAGCTACATATGTTTTTAAGTTCAATTTGGTGTTCTGTATGCAGGAAATTAAAATGAATTATGGTTAATGATATTTTATAGCTATATAAACAAGCCTATGAAGNTATTATGATTTTATTATGAGAAATTATTTAATTCTCTAATATATTATATACTATATAATTGAATATTATGAAATTTAAAGTAGGATTGAGAATAAATAATATAATAGTTCACATAATTTTTAGGTAAATTAAATATCGAATATGATTTATATATTTTAATGAAACAAAACTCATTGAGATATGTAAATATTTGCGATAACTCAAAGAATTAAATTATTAGTTATTCTTTAAAGGTCTATATCTAATGAATCTAGTGTCAATATGTTCTATAAATTTTTTAGAACTATTATGATAATTTGAAGGCTTTTGTATTTATGATGATTCAGTAATTTACATATAATGGTGATTTCTCTAACAATACAGGTATACTTTTTATTATTCAATTTTTAATTTATCTTAAATGATATGAAGTAGCATTGATTATCTTCTTTAAAGCAGTTTAATATGATCCTTATTTAGAATTAACTTATAAATTTAAAGGTTTAGAAATTTCATTATTATATTAACTTAGAAGATTTTAGTATTTGTTAAATATTTAAATTGAAAAACTACTTAAATGTAATTATTTGTTATGAAAGCTATTTATCTTGATACCAATTTTAAAAACCCTATTAGGCAAACATTAATTGTTGATAATATAATTAACTAGAGAGTCTTAATATGCTATACTTTATTAATTTTCTTTATAAAAATTTAAATAATACCAACTTTTTTAATGAAAATATTTAATTTTGACTATTTTTGTATCAAATAACTCTTTATATTTCTAAAAACTCATTTAGAAACTTTCCGGGAAAGTAATAAATTAGAAAATTCAAAATTCCGTTTTATAAATGTCTTATCAATTCAAACATATTTTTCTAACAGGATAATTAGAAATTTTTATAAAATAGTTTATATATAAACTACATATGTTTTTAAGTTTAATTTGGTGTTCTGCGCAGGAAACTAAAATGAATTATGGTTAATGATACTTTATACCTATTTAAACAAGCCTATGAAGATCTAAATGCTTTGTTACAACCCCCAAAATATGATGGGTCTCTTAATTTTACAATAATATTTGAACTTAATTTCAAAAGGAATCTTGTTTGATTGGTCTAATTACTATCCCTGTTAAATTTAATAAATAGTGCCTTAATAATTGCATTAGCTATAAAAATACACATATTTGGAATTATTGTTGTTTAAATTGGAATTGATATATATTACTTTTACATAGTTAATTTTGTATAATTTTTTATTCCTAACCTTAATAATTAATCTAATTAAAAAGATATAGTTTCTTTTAAGTGAAATTCATTAATGATTTGACTGATTTCGTCCATCCACGTTATAATAAATCCGGAATATTATTTCAAATAATGAAAAATTCACCATTGTAATTGCAATAAGAAAAGAACTCTGCACAATTAGGTTGAACAAAAAAAGCCTAATGTATGATAAGGAGGATTGAAAATTTCAGCTTCAACAGAAGATGACCATAATGATTAATCCGTACCCAATAAATATAAAATCTTACATATTCTATTTATGAATCTTAATAAATACTAACAGAAATATCAATACTTTATGATTATTCTTAATCAATCTAAAATTGTATATATTAACAATTTACTTTGACTTCCACTATTTGATTACTCTTTAATATGTTTCACACGATTCAAAGTTATTGATCCATTTGTTGCATCTTTAAACTCTTGATTTTTTGAAAACGTTATTGTTCTATCCTCTGTACCAGTTTAAAGTTCCTATACATCATTTTATTAGAATGTTATAACAGAAATACTAGAATCCTAAAATGCAAACAATTTAATTCTTATTGCAAAAGTTAAGAAGCAGCTACTGCAAGAGTGTTCAATAGAAATCTTTTAAAAATGATAATTTAAATTATTTACCTGTTCTTGTTATAAGGGTAACTTCGACAAGTAATCTGTGTGGTGATTCTAAACTCCAATCATAATAATGTGGTGATATAAAATATTCAGGTGTAGTATCAAAGGCAGTCTAAAAATTGATAGCAGTTTATATCTACCTTGGATATATTCTTGAATTCTCTTAAATGTGATTACCTCCAGAAGTCATTACTGTTAGATCTCATAATTAATAGCTTGTTAAAAGATATCTTAACACAAATTATATGAGTGCTACAAAAATTAAGATAAGCATAATCTTTATATCTATAAATTATTAATATTATCCAATAATGACTAGATATGAATCTAGAAATCTAATTTACATACTGAATTATTAATTCTTTCCTTTTTATAATTTAATCCTTAAATATTGATACATGAGAATGATAATTAATTTTGTCAATTTCTTCATTTAGGCTAGAACTTTTCTTTTCTTTTTAATTATAAATATTTATTATCGAAAAGCTTTTGATTTCCTTGATACAGATCTTATTTATAAATAAGATTCTCTATGAACTATCTGAAGCTGATTGTCTTAATGATGGCTGGAAATATTCCCATTAAACAAAAGGCAAATATTTATTAAGTGAAAATATAATCAAATTCGGCTGGATCATATTAAATTGCAAAGATTAAGATTATAAGAAACTCAGCGAATTTATTAAGTTATAATGGAAATGGTATTTTTTCATTATTAAATAAGTGATAAATGTCTTAAAAAGAAGGGTCATACTATCGGCCCCTCTCTTTATTGATTATTCTTCTAAATCACCGCCACCTTTTGAATATTATTTATAATCTTTTTTTCTAATTTAAATTGCATTTTCTAAGAAATATGTACCAATCCTTAAAAATATAAAGCATATTTATCACATTCTACATCTTCTTTAAAAATATACAATAATAATTATGAAATTTCATTCCCATAATTTTTCCATATTGATATTAAGAAGCCTTCGAATGTTTGTATTGTGAAAAACTTATATAAATTAATATTTGTTAGCGTGGGCTATTGAATAAAGAAATTCTATATTTTAGATTATAGCTCCATTTAGTTTTAAATTCAGAAATATTAGATCATCAATTTTTTGAAATTAGCCAATTAATATAATAATTCAATCTACTCATAAATATGTTTCAATCCCATTTTACCTTGAATTCCTTTCTTTCATATTAGAGATTGTTGATCCCTATAAATGATGCTATATGAGGTTTAAATTAATTAAAATTGACTAAATTGATTTTTCGCTATTGCCATGATTATGTAAAGAGTACAAAAAGTTCAACTCATTCATCATAAAATCTACATAATCCCTTTCCCTTATATAAATTGATTCCTATTTATTTAAAATTAAAGAATTAAAATTACTAATAATCTTTAAAAATTAATTTATTGACAAAGGATATTATTTAATCATCTGAACCAGAATTGAAATGATTTTATATTTTTCTAAACATCTAACATGAAATAATTTTTTAAGTTTTCTTAAAAATTAGATATTTCTATTTCATTTTTTATTAAATTATTTCCTTTTCTATATAAATTTTCGCTTTGTCTTTTAATAAAATAAAACATTCTAGTATTATGTAATTAATATTTTCTAATTTTCTTGATAATTCTTCATATTACTTTATATTAATAAATTTAATTTATTCTATTGTTGATGTTTTGATTCCATGATAAGTTAATTTTTTTTTTTTGATGGAGAAATGATGATTTCTATTTGAACTCATCTGTCGATACAATTTTCCATTAATTATTAGATGCACTTTATTTTCCAATTATTAACTCAGTTCCTTACTTAATCTAATTATTTGGACAAAATTAGATTACAATAAATCACAATCTTTTTTAGAGGGATTCAATCTCTTTGATTCTTTTATTACAAATTTCTTTTTCATAAAATTTAGATTTACTAACAAGCAATAAATAGTATCTCAATTTTCTGAAAATATACTTTCATTACTCCAAACCAGTGGCCATTACTTGATTGTGATCAATAAATTAAAATATTTCACTCATCTATAGCACATTTTTACCATCTTTTAACAAAAAACTTTTGGGTAGACTCATTATTTATTTATTATTTTTTAAACGTTTTATATATTCTTAGAAGTTATTTAATTTTTGTTCTTACTTTTACTTGTTTGACTTCTTTTTATGAAACAGAGCTTTAAAAAGTATTATTATGCTCACTATTTTAATTTTCATTGTCGTTGTAATTTGAATTAAATTATACAAATTAACAAAATTGCTTCAAATTTCTGTTTGCTAAGTATTTTTATTTTAAAATAGATAAATAAAAGGAAAATTTAAAGAAATTTATTTTATATTACAAAATGAAGATGTAATACTATTGTGTTTATTTGCAAATCAAAAAAAAAAAAATTTTTGTGATTGCAAGCAATTTTGAATTTTTTATAAAACAAGAAAAAATTACTTTTCTAATATATTAAAACAAGACACCAAAATTTTACATTGTTATTATTATTGTTCCAAAAGCTTTACGTCAATATTAATAGTTTGTATTTTAGGAAATGAATATGTATTAGACTTGCATAAAAAAAAAAAAGTTCATA